TAATTATTTCCTCATTCTTGTCTCAGGCTCCTGTTACTTAATGGCGGGATGTAGCATTTGCCAGTCCTTATTGTGTTTGCCATAAGATTCCTATATTCCTAGCAGTGTATTCCTTCCAGTTCCTGGAAGCTCTACGTGCTCCTGAATCACATTACTCATCCACTACCTCTTTTTCCTCTCTCCATCCTTCTAATATCGTCTCCTGAGAATATCACATTTGATGAAGCTCCAGTTAATATTTATTCCTTTTTGGTAATTGTCTGGTGACACCCCTCTTATCCATGCTTGTAGTCCATCAACTTTGTTAATTATAGCATCTGTATGCCATAATTTTATCCTGCTGTTTTTGGTACGTTTGTCATGAGGTGTTTTACAGGGAGACAGTTGAAGCGTCCTTACTTCTGTGATGGTCGGGGGTTTGAGTGGATATATGGGGGAATTCAGCGCTGAAGAGAGCACTTCAGGCGCTTATAGAACCTGAAGTAGGTATTTGGTTTGTCTTTTTGGTGATATATATGTCGTACCGAATAGGTAAAACTTGTGATTTTGGCTTAAATAGCAACGCTCTTCTTGCAGAATAAGGCAAGCAAAAATTTGTGTATGCAATAATTTGGCAAAAATCATTCGGAACCTAATATATATATATATATATATAATATATATATATATATATATATATATAATATATATATATATATATATATATATATAATATATATATATATATATTTCATTGTGTTCACTATTAAATTATTTGAAACTTATCTAACACATATTTAGATAGATTAGGCAAAATTTAATTGCATTTGTTATAATAAGGTTAGGTAAGTTTTCTAAGGTTCTTTTGATACAAAATTATTAACTTTTACATAAACATAAATGAAAAAACTATACTTTTATACGTATAAGAGAAAATTTTAGAAAGGACTTAATTTTAAACGAGTTCTTGCTAATTGACCAGTTTTACCTATTCAGCACGACATAAATATATTAGAGGGGAGGAGATGGGCAAGGATGGGCACTGGGGAAGGATACGTTTCCCCTTGTTATTTCCATCCCAGCTCTGGTGGTCAGGGCCCTAGGACTTAGGCTTCTGAATTTTAAAGTAAAAGGACACAAGTGCAACTATATGTGACATTTTATTGTGGCAATGTTTCGCTCTTTATATCATTTTACTCATGTACTAATTAATTGCTCTACCGTATTGTATCACTACTAGTACTACAACTTTTGTCACTACTACTAGTACTACCACTAGTATTGCACCTCACTCTGAGCCTATATATACCCTTTGTGTCCATGTACTGTTTGTAAGAGCAGGGCATTCACTTCAACGAGGGGTTTTCAAGAAGACACTGCCTGATTGGTTAATTTCTGGACATTCTTCATCTTGGCTCCAGGATTCTGTGCGTCGCTGGCTGCCTGCCCCAGGGCAGACCGTTGGCCTCTGCACTCCTGCAGCTGGGTGAAGTCTTCCCACCTTATCCTGTTATCATATCACCTCTACCATCTCCACGATGTCACATCGTGTGAATTAAGCCCAAGTCTGCTGTCGTCGATGACGCCACGAAGCTTGAGCTTGCAGCTTCTCTCAAGATTACGTCACTGAAAGGAGCTTTCATCGTCACTTTTCTCGATGATGCTGAAGCTGACAAAGTGCTTACACCTACTGCCATGAAGACCTTAGAAGACCGCGGCTTTACCATCTCCACGTCACCATACATGCTTGCAAAACGTTCAGTGTTTATGAAACGTCTTGACAGGCTGATCACGAACATGTCCATCCAGGAAATTAAGTCATCACTTGAAGACCTCAACACCTGGGCCAAGATTGACCCTGTGAACATCTTTTCATCCATTTCTCCAGCTATTCTTTCTTAGATATGAGCTACTCACTTTGTAAACGATCCTATCTCTGTTCTCCTCTGAGCTTCTTTCAGTTCTAAGATTGTCTCTTGATTTTTTTTCCATTTAGAATTTGCTAATTCCTTAAAAAATTATATATGGCATATTTCATCCTCTCATTTTGTGCTTACTATATTCCATGTAGTTTCATTACCCTCATTTTCTCACCTTTTCCATTCCAATTCACCTTCGGCCTCATCAAGTCCAAAATCATCAGTGATCTTTCTGCTTATCTTCCCAACTGTCTTGTCGGTGTTACTGCCTCCTTATCAGTTCTCTCGTCTCTCTTACAACTGTTTGTCTAGCATGATTTACTTCGAACGTTTCCAGAAATATCTTTTTTATACCATTTCCCTCCTTTAGTCCTTTGCTCCCTGTACGATCCACCTGAATCAACGGCATTTCTCAAATTACCAATTCTTTTAATCTTGTTATTTTGCCTCATTTTTTTCTAAATTTTATGCTCCATTCATTTTTGAACTCTTTTTATCAACTTTCTGTCTAAAGTCTTGTAGTTGCCCTCTCAGCGTCTCTGTCATGTTGGCACGCAATCCAACCACAGTAATGTCTTGTTTATTCCATGTCTCCCTCGTTTCTCCTTCACCACGCATGTATGCAAGGGGAGGAGGGGGTGTATTTATTTTTATTAAGTGTAGTTTGATGGCACTGAGATGCATCCTCTTAGCTCACCTCTTTCTTGGCTTTTAGTGGGTTGACATGATCTACCACTGTATATTTTTCCATGAAGCCATAACAATTATTGGCTTCTGTTATGTTACTTCACATTTCATTTCTTTGCTACACTGACACTTTAGCATGTTTCTGTGTGTGTTCCTTCGTTATATTTTTTATGTATAACCCATGTGGGTTATGCAACTCATGGAGGCTCGATTCCCTGTCCAACTGTGTTTCACAATCCTGGTCTCTTCCAGGGTAAATGTATATTTTTTTTGATCTGTCTATGCCCTGGCATAATTTAAATTACGAGATCATATCTATTATTTGCTACATTTGTTTAGTCTTTTTAATAATTAATTCCAAGACAGGTGTTCAACCTCTTCACTTTAATTAAATCTCTTTTATGTTTACATTCAAGTTTTAAAGACCATTTAATGTTTGTTAAAGTGGCATGCAAAGAGTACATTACTATTCTGCATATATACACACTCCCATACAGGCTGCCTCCCAACCAGCGAACCGGGTGCTAAGGGTTTAACGATTAATCGTACGCCGATTAGTAACGTACTATTTGTATGTTATACCCCCACCCCAAAAGAGCTCTAATGGCCAGGACTAGGCTTGCACCTTCATGGGCAGAGTGCTACCATGGCACGTTACAATAATGGAACTGCCTTTCCTCTCAACCAACTCATTAGACAGAGCTCAACTTGTCTCGAGACAAAGCTAAACTCTAAACTTAGAGCAAAACAGCAGACAATACGGTTAACATAGGTTAACGGTAGCAGAATATCCCCTCACTAAAAAAAACACACACACCAATTAAATTAAACAATATACATAGAAAGGGGAGAAAAAGAGCTGGTTCTACCCATAATTCCTAAGACATTCCAATCTAACACATTTTAATTTTTAAATTCTTGATAAATAATCAGCCAGCTTATTATCTTTGCCAGCAATATGAATTATACATAAATGATGAGGCTGCAGCCTGAGATTCCACCTCATGAGTCTTGTGTTGCGGTTCTTCATAGAATTCAGGTAAACCAGAGGGTGATGGTCGCTGTAGACTGTAACCACTTGAGACGACTGACCCACAAAGACCTCGATGGTCTGAGTGTTCTGGTGTTGCCTCTCTCTCATTATTCTGGAGGAACCTAAGTGGAGATCTGCGACTAACAGCTTCTGTAGCGGGAGATACGTCTATCTGGTGCGCCATAGTTGCTTCAGATTTCAACTTTGTACAAATAATGTAACGAAGCTGTGCAGCAGTAAAAGTATTTTGATATTCTATACCAATGGAACGAGCAATTCGCCAGCAACACTGTAGAAAAAGTTTGGGCCGCTTTAGTAGAGTGAACGTAGATACCAATCGCCTGACTCGTGTAGGTGACATTAACCCAAACGTAATACGCTATTTGCAATACACGCAACAAGCAATGCAGAGTACGACTGCAGAATACACATACACATAATAGCAAGGCTGACACGCAGTAGCGAAGTGATTGCAAGGCTGACTCGCAATAACGGAAGCGATGGCAAAGCTGACACGCAATGCCAGACAGCAAAGCTATCTAAACGATACATGACTAGCTCCTGCTCTAGCTCTAACTCCAGCTCCAGCTCTCGGACAGGCTGTCCATATTACACACCCAGGTGAGAAACGCCTGTTAAGGGGGCCCCATCGTTAATTACGACTCAGATTAACAGGCCTTTCTCACCTGGGTGCGTAATAGTTAGCCTGATATATACCGTTGATGCTATTATGTTTACGTGTGTTTTGAAACAGGTTCTTCTTTCTCATCACAAGTTTTGGGATTGGGCATTATGCCCATGTTCTTGCTGGTGATATATTATGCCCATTTTTCATTACATGTTGAGTCTGAGCTCTAGTTAGGATTTTGTTTATCATTTCTGCAGCTTCTTTAGATAGTCGTATACTTCTTGAAATCTTCTTCCTTTGCATTCTTAGCCTCGACTTTTTCCACAGCAATTACAACATATTTAAGTTATCCTGGTAGGTATCTTATGCGCACAATACAGTGTGTAGCTTGTAACAGAGCCATATAGGGAAGTCTTAGTACTTACTGATGTACAGTTGTGGTGTCGGTTTCCACAAGACCAGAAATCGTCCTCCAGCAACAAAGCCTATGACAGGGATTTTATAATATTTTTGCGGAGTGATACTGCCAGGAATTAAAAATTAGGCATTTTTGTGTTCAATATTATGACAAATTTCGACTTCTATTACTACGATAATTTTCACCTTTAATTAACATTTGCCATTTATATTAATTAATATAATATAGCTTTACTTGGTTTTCTACAATATATTACAATATGTATATAACAAAAGGGAGCATAAATGTTTTCCCGACTTTTATTTTAATTCTGTCTCTTTTTCTCTTTCAAAACAGAAAGCGACTAGGTAGCTCCACGTCGTCGGCACTTGGCTCCTCTGCTCGTCACCCTCATCTTCATCTTCCTCGTCAAGACAGGCAGAAGAATGGGTCGCCGCAGGATTCAACGATGCAGCACCACCGAACTCAAGTCCCTCCTGCTGGACCCCACAGGCGGCAAGTGGTTCAGACCTATCAACTCCTGCGATGAAGTCTTCCCAGGCATCATCCTCAGTGATGCGTGAGTAGAGAGAGAGAGAGAGGAGAGAGAGAGAGAGGAGAGAGAGAGAGAGAGAGTGTGTATCAAACAGATAAACGTAAGCATATTTTGTAGAATGAAGGAAAAATTAACTATGGAAACTCCTGCTGTCTTCAGTTGATCACACCACCAGTGAGTCAATATGGTAACCCCCTCCCGTCCTCCCATGTCCTATCACTTATTTTAAGTAATGTTCTTCAAACTCCTTTCCCAACGATCCAGTGCAATAATATCACATACCCTTACCACTCTCTTCCCGTGTTTAGTTTTAAAATCTCACATGGAATCTAAACTACAATACCAGGTGAGCTAATTTAAATCTGTTGACGCATTAGGGTCAAGCCAAACTGTATTAACTTTGTAGATGGACAGGAGAAAGCAACACAGCCAATGGTAAACTGTTTTAAACAGAATACATAGCATGCCACTAAGTCACCAGTGCAATATACATAGGAAATAATTTTATACACAAATAACCCGCACATAGAATAGAGGAGCTTACCACAACATTTCGGTCCGACTGGGACCGAAACGTCGTCGTAAGCTCCTCTCTTCTGTGTGCGGGTTATTTGTGTATCGTTCCAGTCACGGTATTGTGCCTTTTTTATGAAATAATATTGTGTTTAACGTATGACAGTATAAATAATATTAGTACGTTGATTACTGTGAATTAATGTGATTAATACTGTGAATAGTGACTGCTCGCTTCCCCCTCTCTCTATCCTTCCCTCTTGGTAGTATATATGCTCACTACCCTACTGAAGTCTAATAGCTCAGGTTGACATATTTCTACACCATGTATTTAACCCAATATATTTAATGAAATATAACAGGGAAACATAGCTTCTGTTCCCACTATGTAACTATCATACAGAATAGGGTAGCAGCACACTGCTAATCAATTCAGTTTTAATAAATAAAACAGATCTTACCTGATAGTCCCCGCATGATAGAGCGCAGTACCTCCAAGCTGCGTTATTTCACCAACTAGACAAGGTAACTGTGTCCATCATTTTGAACCCCTACAGAACCTTTGTTTCACCCAGCATGACGAACCTTATTTCACCCAGCATGACGAACCTTGTTTCACCCAACATGACGAACCTTGTTTCACCCAGCATGACGAACCTTGTTTCACCCAACTTGACGAACCTTGTTTCACCCAGCATGACGAACCTTGTTTCACCCAGCATGACGAACCTTGTTTCACCCAGCATGACGAACCTTGTTTCACCCAGCATGACGAACCTTGTTTCACCCAGCATGACGAACCTTGTTTCACCCAGCATGACGAACCTTGTTTCACCCAGCATGACGAACCTTGTTTCACCCAGCATGACGAACCTTGTCAACACAACCAGAATCCTGAGGGTTGCATAAAAAAAATAGCATTACTTTAAGTAGCGAGAAAATCTTGCACATTTTCCTTGTCTTGGTAGAAAGACATTGATAATAAATCTTGGTTAGATTTAAAACCATATTAAGCAAGTACTGGTAACTAGCAATTACCTGTTTACATATCAGACAATACTCGTGTTAAAAATATTCATTAGAAAATGCACTGTGTAAAAACACTAGAATAATACGAAGTTAAAAAACAATATAACACATTGGATCAATAGTTCTGTTTTTTTAATTTTTTTTAAGGTCTTACAAGATATTCTTCACTGCGAGTCTTGCAGGTTCCTCCTCAGATGTTTTTTTCGTACCACAAAAAATCCACCACAGCTGAAATGTTCAATTAATTACAGCTGAAGTAAATGGCCAATAATACTTGGGAGGTACGATAAATCTGGGACTACGGCGAGCTTCCCGTGGCTGCGGCTCCGGGGATCAAGTACCTGAATGAACGCTAACAGAACATAATATCATAACGCAGTTAAAGTAATAGCTCTGAAACTCACAGACCTTTTGAAGAAAGTAAACTGAGACTCCGTTATCCTAGATGCTAAACACATCATATGCTGAATGTTGAAGACCGTAAAACAACGGAGGTTAAATCAAGTTTATAAAATTGCCCACAGTGTCCAGAATATCTTGCTGCCAATTTTGTCAAGGTTGGGAACCAAAGCATTCATAGTACTAGAGGGAGAGAACATAAGAGTTGCACATGTGTCTAATTTAACAACTTTGTAGTACCCACAGTCAGTGGCCAGGCGTCAAACACCTTTTATTGTACAGCAATAAAGGAATGGAACAGACTGCCCGCACATGTCAAAGCCAGTCATAGCATGAACCAGTTCAAGAAGAGTGCCAAAAGGTACCTAATGAAAGGGAGGAGAATGATACTTTATATTTTAACTAACACACATGTAAATATAAACAATTCATTTTACCTTATTCCTAGTATATCTCCTTTATAGTATAATATTATTTCCTTTCTTGTATAATAATAAGGCATTAAAAAGGACCCCAATGGAAAAAAGTCACTGACTTATTTTGAGTTATTGTAGGTTGTCTACACATATGCTGTCAAGTATGATAATCTATATAACTGTATTTGTATATACCTGAATAAACTTAATTATCAAGGCATGGCGCAACTTGGTCCTGTCGGACAATGTTTAGACGGGCCGGCAAGAGGCGGCAATTCCTTAGACTTGTCAGTCATGATCACTAAGAGATCTTCCCAGGCCTGATGTCTTGATTCACATTTCACAGCAACACAAAAGTGAAAGAGACAGACGCAACAATCGTACCACCTACAGTGAGAGAATCTGACAGCAGTGAGAGAATATTGACGGCAGCGCAGTTGGGAAAAATCAGTAAAATTATCAGTGAAGTTCAAAATTATCCTATGGATGCTTATACTGTTCAAGAACTGAGAGAAAGGCAGCCTTCCAGGAAAATTAGGGACGGCAGCATTTCTAACACCACTGTCCCAAATGCACAACAACTGTTTATGCAAGAATTACATATTTACTAAGCACTTTAGTTATTCCTGTCTGGCTCTGCTGGGAACCGCACTGGGAAAAACCCGTTCTGGGGAATATTGCAGACGCCTTTTTATTGGAGATAAAGCTTGTCAACATCTTCCTGGCTAATCTGATTTCCAGAAAAATTCAGCCATGGGCAACGTTATCCGTTGTCTTGTATTTAAAGAGGTTCTCAAAAGTATCTGAACAAATGCGGCAATGATGCTTCAGCCAACCAGATGAGTTTTGGGTCTTCCCCTCAGAGCAGAGAAGATAAAGCAATAGTTAAACTATACTTCTACAGTGCATTTTATTTACTGAAAAGAGACATATTAACAACCGTTAGAATATACTTCTCTAGTTCCTAATGTTTCAGATGCATATGGCAAGGAGTCGACGCTTCTGTTTGGAAAGGATGAAATCGTTTTGTGGAAAAATGCTCTGCAAGGGGATCCTCTTGTTTCATTTCTATTCTGTACTTGTTAGGGAAATTCTTAGTAGCCTGTCTAGCAAACTAAACATCATGTTCCTGAATGACAGCCCACTGCCAGATGCAAAAGGGTTCCTCTTAACAAATTTTAGTCAGGTAAAGAGGCAGAGACTGACTATTGAACTCTCCCTTAATCCCGCCAAGTGCGAAATCATCTCAGATAATCTGCAAGAAATGAAGAGTGAGAGCCATGCTACCAAATAAATCAAACATTGCCTCCTCTGATAGCATCCTGCTTGAAACTCTTATGGTAACCCATTTGACTAATTGTCGACGACAGCTTGAACGATCTGGAGAAGCTGGAACAACGAATAATCATTCTAGACGCATGTGACACATTGTACTTTCTCACAATGTGCTTGAGCCTGCCCAGTCTAACACACTTCATAAGATGTGCACCCTCAAATGAGAACGTAAAACTAAGTGAACACCTCAGTCACATGAAGTTGATATTCACAGAAGCACTCAATCTTTTTTTTCTATAAGAAGGTGAGAGAGATCAAGTTACACTTCCAGTCAAACTAGGGAACATAGGAGTCCACAAGACGTAAAAAATGCAGTAGCAATTAATGAATTCCTGTCTCCGTGTGTGGGTGGGCGGCGTCACAATGTTGAGGTTCACGACCCAAACAGAGCCAGGCTCTAGGATACTCTAATAAGCTTCTCAGTAAAATTAATTCCACTAGTAACTACAAACAATCACACTGGGATAGCCGGACAGCAGAGAATATTCTCAACAATGCTAGTGTGTGGCTGGAATGAACAGTAAGCGCTCCTCAAACATAATTTGCTGTTAGATATCCCACATTTTTCCACGCACACGTCTAACACCTTAGGCAGTTTGACTAGTGTTACTCTTCGCTTTGCCGCCCCTGTCCTCACCAAACATAAGTGGCTATGCAGCAGTGTACTGGCAGACCAGTCGGGATACTGCGAGCGGCTTTATTTATAAATTTGAAGGGAAACACCTCGAGGTACGAAAGTAGTTAGCAGTACCATCAAAGAAGCCCTGCAATACCTGGCTGCCCAGCAATAAGAGAGCCATCCTGACTATGTAGATCCAGTGACAGTTTAAACTCTCCAAATTGAATTACCTTACATTCCCAATCTCCAGTACAGGAAGGATGGAATGGGGCAGATAACAGCTTCAGAGAGTTTTAAAAATTTAGAAAACACAATGAACTTTCTCATCTTTACGTGTATGTTTCCAAAGATTCAGAGACATTCAGCTTTTGGGGAAAGAGTGTATCCAGGTTCCCGAAGGAATTCAACAAAATAAACATTAATGCAAGTTTTCTATTGGAGCATCTCAGTGATGCAGTTTTGAGTGGTAATGGTTGTTGTATCTTGGGACTCCAATACAACTCTGACGTGCTGCAACAAGTTTATTTAAAAAGTAATAACTGGCGAACACATCTGTGCAAATATTAAGTAGCAGTTAATCCTTTTATAATGTAATATAATATATAATACAATATAAATGTGTGTATATATATATATATATATATATATATATATATATATATATATATATATATATATATATATATATATATATTCAAAAAATGGGTAATAAA